ACCACTACCGGTTCCAACTTCCATCAACCAAGTAACATAATCCTTCCAGATCGATCTAAATCCCCCAACCCGTCTCCGGAACCAGAGCAAAGATATGGGGGTGAGCTTTTAACTCCGGCCACACACGTCGAACACCGGTGGCTGCCATCTCCGGACCACAAGCATTGGCCAAACAACGGGTCTGCAACGTGGCATAACTGCGAAGGTAGGGGCATTACTAATCTGCACCAGGGAGACCTGTGCTGCCACACGGAGACTCCTACCAACCGTGGAGAGGTGAGAACCTACAGGGGATGAGCAGCGCGCGTCCACCCAACACTAGAGCCTTCGTCCGTTCTGGAAATCCGCAGCAGCGTGAGTCAGCGCCACCATCCACTGGTCCACTGCTAACAACATCCCCGGTCAACCGACGCCACGTCCGAAGACGAAGATGCTGCAGATGCCGGAGCTTTCGCCTTGACTATGAACGGCGACGGAAAGTTGAGACGAACACGATGGCCATCGTATGAAGGGTATGCCAGCAGTGACCAAACTGCCGGTCCCCATTTCAGATGCTTAATCTCCATTTTTTTCCCACTAATAAGGATGAACTAAGATTACAGACTCCCGGTAGCAACGGACAGAGATCTGCGAACAAATCCACCCTAGTGGACCACCAATTTCCAAGATTGGACACGTGGTCTACTTTAGAAGAGAAAGAAAAATTTAAAATAAATAGGAAAGAGAATGGAAAGGATGACCTGCTATCATGGGTTACCTTTAGCTATTTGGACCTAATTGATTCTTTTTTTATAGTACATGAACTTATGTGATGCTTTTAATAGTACAGGAGTCTAAGTGACCGATTTGCAATTGTACAAAGGTCTATTTGACCCTTTTTCCTAATATAAAAATAAAATGTACGTGATCCCATAAGTCCCGACGCATAACCAATCTCTAAAGTCTAACCGTCGATCCCCTGCCCGACCATTGTTGATATGGTCAAGCTTCGAAAGGATATGCCCACAGTCCACCTTATAATTTAATGATTCCATTATTCACTCGTTTCATTACTTTCATAGTTTCATCTACTCGGAATTACTGAGATCATTCCAACCGCGTCAATCAGTGGCGGAACCAGGTCGGGGATCTTGGAGGGGCACATTAGGGAAAGAGTAGGTCTCCAGCAACATGGAAAGGGGGCAGCTTGCTGAGGCCCTAAAATTTTGGTCTTCGGCAAGGCGGATGGCGGCAAAAATAAGTGAATATACTCGATAGATATTCAAGCGATAGTGAATACTAAAATTACACAAAATTATGGAGGTGATCAGATATTTGGAGAGGTGATATTATTTAATTATCCTTAATATTAGAAATCAATTGAGGTGATTAATAAATGGTCCGTTGTTAATTTGTCATAACAAATTAAATTTGTCATACAAGATTTCACACCATAGTATATGACGGAGGTCAAGCTAGCCATTAATCCCTTATAAACGTTATTATTGCCATACCGAATGTGTTGCGTTATTAATCCATTATTATGAAATCAGTCAAATTCAAGTCTTCAACGACGGATTAATAAGGATTACACATTATAACAACATTTCTGTCATTACTTCTTCATATCACAAGCGGGGTTTCTGAACAAGATGATGTTTTATATACCTTTAAGATTTGAGTGGGGGAAGAGGACAATTGAGATTGTGAATTAATTTTGGTGAGTTTGATGGACGTCGCCGAACATGGATCAGCTGCGCTGTAACAGCCCCAAAAAGAAGAAAGACTTGTGGAATGTATATACTCCGTAGTAAAGAAGCTGCAGGGGCACAAGCACCCCCAAGCCCTTGAGTGGTTCCGCCACTGGCGTCAATTATATTATAACCTCCCTCCCACTCCACTATATAATTCATAGCAAGCCCAACTCCTCCTATACACCAAACAACCACATACTATACTATCTATACAAAACACAAGCACATACGTACCTACCATTCATTTGATTGGACCATACCACTTTATCATTTTTAATTTAGATTTAAATAATTCAACTGCTATATTCTCATTGGTCCATGTGGACAAAGGTATGGTACCTTATGGGTATCATAGAATCTACCTTAGTATATTACTCATTAGTCATTAGGCTTAGTTTATTTCAATGTCACATAGTAGAAATCTAGAAAGTTATAGTGGGTTCGAGAAATTGGGCATTTATTTTTGTATTTTAATATTTGTAACCTACATAAGTACGGAGTATTAATTTTGGGCTTCAAAATTGTAATGGACTTTTACAATATTTTAGAATTTAAAGTAATTGTTATGTAGGGAATCGGTACGGTATTATACCGGTATACCGCGGTATTTGAAAACATTACCGTTACTGTAACACTTGAGATTTAATATAAATGGATTAATAGTACTACTCATACCAACAAGATGCATCTCTTTTTAAGGGAGCTCATCCGTTAAGAACTCCAAAGTTAAGCGTGCTTGCACGGGAGTAGTCTTGGGATGGTGACCCCTGGGAAGTTTCTCAAGGCGCGCACGAGTGAGGACAAAGTGCGCGGAAAAGGCTAGTGGCGGTTTGTGAGGACAGTACTAGAGGTCTGGAGTAACTACTTCGGGGCCTGCGGGGCCGGGGTGTTACAGTTACCATACCAAAATAAATCGGAACGGTATACCAATATTCCGTTATTTTTCGGTACGGTAAGTGCGGTATACTGATTTTTCAGTATTTATGCCCACCCCTAATCACAACAGTTCGTATACCATAGTATCACCCCACGGTGAGCACCCTGCTCCCACACCCAAAACAACGTAGTTTCGCACAATTATTTAAAAAAAATTGCGTGAACAGTACACGCGTGTACAATAACAGTTTTTTATTTTCATCCGAGTAGAATGAATGATGTAACTTGTGCATAAATAGATGTAACTCGCATTGTTACAAATGTAACTTCAGTTAACAATAAATGTAACGTGTGCCCTGAAATGTAACTCATGTAACAAATGTAACTAATTGCTTAATTACTTTACCTGAATAATGAATATGTTTTGTTTTTAATATTAAGACCATAAAATGTTTTAGAGAAATCATGTTTTCCCTAAAAAACATTTTTTTTGCAAAAAAAAAAAAATTGATTCGAAAGAAGTTTTTTCTTGTTTCAATAAAAGAGGTTTATTTTGTGATGTAACTCATGTAATGACAAATGTAACTTATGTTAATAGGAAATGTAACTTGTGTGAAACATGTCCAAATGTAACTCACTCATTAGAAGATGTAACTTGCGCACATTAAGATGTAAATGGAGTATAAAAAGATGTAACTCCATGCCCAATATGCTTCCTATTTTTGCTAAAATAGCTTTTTGGATGGATTATTTTGGCATTCCTTCTTTTAGAATGTAATTTCAATTTTTTCTCATTCAGGTTTGGTTTGGCCCCCCTGATATTTGTGTTTGTTTGAAGTTTTTCATTAATAAAACATGGTAAAAGTCCCCTGGCATTTGCCCCACTGATTTTGGTGGTTGACCTTCCGGGAAAAAAAAATGTAACTCCATGTATTAAAAACACACACATGTATAGACCTATATATACCAATTAACTCCATCATTGACATCAAGAGAACAGACAAAATTATATTAATTGAATTTGATTAATACGCAGCATAGATGGTAAATCAAAGCAAAAAGGTTATGTGTGAGGGGTTGAAACTTGAAAGAGCAGAGATTGAAGAGCCACCGTTATGTAAAACCCAAATTCTGTCCACTAAAAACTGATCATTCCTTAGCTTGTTCATGATGGCAAGTGATGAAACCAGGTCACTTGTTCACAATCATGAGCCAAAGGCGATGATGGCCTGGTATGTATTTTAGCTCTTAAAGTTCTGTCATCACAGAGCGATAATCTGTTTGGATTTAAGACAAATTTCAGCCCACTGTATGATTCTACGGAGTCGGTGATTGACAAACCACAGTTGCAAGGCCAAGTTTTTAGGAAAAGAGCGAAGATCGATTGTTCTGTATTTATTTCAAGAAAAGCGATGCCGTTTTGGGATCGGCACACCGTGCTCACGGTGGGCCGATCCCATGGTATAATTTGCTTAATCACAATTGTATAAAGCTATGTCAACCAATATATCCTACGTACTCATCCAACTAAAATCTCAATTACTTTGAAAACACAAGGAATAAAATAAAACAAAATCAAAAATTAAAGTAGAAGCAATCCCTTTAAGGAATGACCGAGAATAATAAATATCTTATCATTGGATAATCATACCGTAGTCCTTTTTCAAATAAAATCTTCAAAGTTTTTCTGAATAGTTGGTTTAATTTGAGTTAGTGTAATTTCGTCTATTGTGAACGGACCTGATGTCCTGATCCATGATATGTAGTCTGACTGGTCTTGTAAGATGTGGTGTTGTGGGTGTATATATACATATTTGAACATAGCTACTCACTCCGTCCCGATAAGATTGTCCATTTTACCTTTTCGGGAAGTCCCACTAAGATTGTCTTATACCAAATTTGGTAAATTATGTGTGGTTCTAAACCATTTTTACTTTATTCTTACTTTATTAATGTAATATCATTCACATAAACTCACTTTTCTTATAATCATGCCACTTTCTCATGTCATAATCTTAGTGGGACGGAGGTAGTATATATTTATGACTGGTCTTTTAGTTTAAACATAGTTTTAAAACGTGGACTGGTTTTATATTTTAAACACATTTTCAACAGAGTTATAGTATACTTCGTATATAGTTTTAATAAACGGCGATCCCCTACCCGACCATTGTTGATATGGTCAAGCTTTGAAAGGATATGCCCACAGTCCACGTTATAATTTAATGATTCCATTATTCACTCGTTTCATAGATTTTTTGTTTTTGTTTTTGAAATACTTACTCACTCGTTTCATTACTTTCATCTACTCGGAATTACTGATTTCATTCCAACCGCGTCAATTATATTATAACCTCCCTCCCACTCCACTATATAATTCATAGCAAGCCCAACTCCTCCTACACCAAACAACCACATACTATACTATCCATACAAAACACATACACAAAACACAAGCACATACGTATTGAATTGATAAGAATGGCCAAGAAATCAGGGAATTCTCTCTTTGGCCTATTCAAGCTGAAGAAAAAGAAGGAACGACGGGATGAAGGAGATTCGGAGAGGGACGAGGCAGTGGTAAACAAGGAGAACGTGTACAGAATATATAGGAGCGACGAAGACCGTCTTAATTGGGTGGGTGACCCCGAAATTGATGCCAAAGCCACCGATTTCATCAACGCCATGAGACTGCAGTATCGGAAGAGCAGCGACACCAACGACAACGATGAAGACGACGTCTGGAAACAACATTAATTAATTATATGGCGTACGCACGTTTGAATTGGTTGTGTATATATATTCTCATAGATAGCATGCAACTTTGTTTTTCTAGCAGCTAGCGCAGCTTTAGGATGAATGAGTTAGCCACCGCAACTTAATTTAGTTGAAAATCCTAGCTAATTAATTATGCTTGCTAGCTTAGTAGTTTTTAATCTACTGGCTAGCTCTCTCCATCAGCTAGTATGCTCCTCTAGGCATACTGTATATATTGTATTCTCTATATGTACTCACTGAGGATTTCTGATTTTAACTTCTCTGCCGTTGGCAAGTTTGATGAACGTAAGAAAAAAGGGATAATTCCCTGAATTGGAGTAAAACATGATTAGAATTCCTAAATAGGAGGAGTTTAAGTTATTTATCCCCTAAATAGATCCACCAATTACTCATATACCCCGCTTCCTCACCTCTCGATTAAACCCTGTGGCCCTAAATCAATTGACGCCACCCAGTTCATCCAAGTTGATCGATCTTCTCAGCGCCTATACTCTACAACGGCTTCACCATCTTCACCTTTCGCCACCGCCCAATTTCAACTCCAGCACCTTCTCCAGTTTCGCCACCACTATCGCCGCTTCTCTTCCCCGGATTTGCCTCCACAGTCGCCGGAAAGGTAACTCCTCCCCGCTTCTTCTTCTTCTTCACTTTCTTCTTCTCCACTTTCTTCTTCTTCTTTCCTACTCCTCTTCATTCTCCTTTGTGCTCTGTTTTCATCTTCTTCTAATTTTTTATTTAATCAATGATTTCATTTCATTTTTTCATATTCTAAATTAAACCAATATGATTTAGATCTGAGAAATTGAGATACAAAAATTCAAGGCTTCCATGGTAATCTGGAATCGTTCAATTTCATGGTTTTTCCCAATCAATTTTGATAATTGCTATTCGTATTCAATTTAAACATGAAAGTGCCATAAGATCATTTTTATTCGAGCAGTGCCAAGTATACCAGTTTCATGACATTACAAATTGCCATTTTTACTCCAATGTCATGTTTTTCTATTCAAAAATGCCATGTTTTTGAAAATAATGGCAAATAATATCATTTTAAGACACTAACCACATCAAGATGATAATATTGTTTCTAGTGTCATGTTTTTTATCTTCAAATGCCATATTATTTTTTAAGTGTCATGATTTTTCTCTCAAAATGCCATATTCTCATATTTCCATATGTTAAAATATGTGACTGCAGTATGAAGATGGCAATGACTCTAGAAAGAGGCAGCGGCCAGCAAAATTACACGTCGGAGATCCACATGTTAGAAGAGGTGGTGGCGGCAGCAATAGATGCGTCTGGTGGCAGCAGAGGCAAAGAAGGCGGACAGTGGTGGTAGATGCATCGGTGTTGTCAAATACAGCGTCGGCCATGTTAGATGCAGCGGCGGTGGCCGTGCCAGATGCGGCGGCGACGTTCATGTCAGATGTGGTGACTGGTGTACCACCGGTGACAGAGTCGTTGACTTGGGATTCACATAGTCATGGACTGAACCGGGCCCGGTTCCGAGTCAAGCCTAGGCCCGGCCGGGCCAAAAAAATCAGTGTGGCCCGGGACTGGCCCGGAAGCTGACCGGTGCCAGTCTGGGCCCGGACCGGGACGGGCCGGGTCCGGTTCTTTTTTTTTCTTGATTATTTTATCCCCTACCCCCCATCCCCCATTCCAGCCCATTTAAACCTAGCCCAAAGCCCCAAACAAAAAAAAAACAAGAATTGAAAAGGCCCGAACCGGGCCCGGAACCGGCCGGGCCGGTTCTCAATTCCATCAGCCCGTACCTGCCCCCGGTTTCCTTTTCAATTCGGACCTAGACCGGGTGGCCCGAACCGGGTCCAAGCCTAGATTCAATCCTAGGGTCTGCGCATGATACTCCATATATTATAAGCTTCCTTTGTCGGGTCCATAGAACTAAAGAGGGGTAAATGGCTCAGAACAGCTAAAAATACTCGTATTTAAGAATTAAAAAACAATTGCTCCTATCTACCTCTATATAAAAAGAGGTGGAAAACCAGTTGGTTTTCCCGCCTAAAGTCTGGGGCAAAAGTGGATCGGGTCAAAGTCAGTAACGAGTTAGAATTCAACGGGTTAAATGGTGGGGAATAGTTATTGGTTGGGTCATTAAATGCACTGTCTTGACTATATATGAAATGTTATAAGCATCTGGGCATTCGGGATTGCAAGTTGACCGATTATATATATTAGTATATAGCAAAATATCTTTTGGTAAAGCTGAAAAGCAATGATACATTAAATGCAGCCTGCTGAGAGAGCATCTTTAATTTACTCAACCACTCCACAAGCAATTAATTCACCTTTGATTGATTTTCCAAATAGAGATAAAAAATTCAAATTATGAGTTGGGTAGTTGGTTTTTATACGCAAATAGGAAACCCATTCAGTGAGGTACTACTGGGCAATGTGTAACGAAATATCCAAAGGATATTTGAGCAGTCTAAATTATTTTAGCAACCACCTCAGTGAAAGCCTAACTCCACCCCACTTCTACTATAAATAACACACTTACACAGCAATCCACAGCACACTTCACTTGACTCACACACAACACCAAACCATTTTGCTACTAAGTTAACAATCAACAATGGCTGAGAGCTGCAAGGCAAATGGAATGTGGTCCTGCATAGGTGACATCGATCATACCAAGACAACATGGGCGGTTCGTGTGAGAGTGGTGAGTGTCTACGAAGTCGCTGCCCATGCCAGAGGTGGAAGCACAATGGAAATGATTCTTCATGATGAAGAGGTATATATTTTCTTTTTGGACGTAATTTCTTTCTTAAAGATTATCAGTTCGTTTGAAGTTCTTTCTATGATCAGGGATCCAGCTATTTTGGCAATGTACAAGAAGTCAGAAGTTGATACTTTAGAACTAGATGATCTAGAGGAAAAGGAAATGGTAACCCACTTCTTCCAGATTGCGCTGTACATATCTTCAAACCTAAATGTATTAAATGTGATGTCTTATTTTTTCAGTGCGGTTCTGTGAACGATGCTGACCTGACTACAACTAACAACGAATTTGGCGGGACAGAAAAGGATAAGGTAGATTACAGATTACTTTCATTTTTTGTAATAGATATGTTAATAAAACGCTTAGACATAACCCTTCATGTTCATGTTGTTTCAGGCCTGTGTCAATGAAGAAGTAGATGAAAAGACACCATAGAAATCACCCGAAAAAATAGTGGTTATAAATTTGGATGACTCAATGAAAAGATAGCTGGCTGATGAGTTTTCAGCAACTAAGCATGGCAGAAAGATGAGGGTTAAGATTAAGAAAGAAAAAGAGTAGACTACAGAGATCAGAGAGAAGCAGACTGCAGATTGTTTTTGCGAAAAGTTACATTTCTAAATTCTAATTGCACCGAAGACTGTTATTTGTTTGATTTAAGTCTATTTTAAATGCGCAAACTTTTAATTTGCTAAATGTTTTCGACTCTAATTCAGACTCTACTATGTATTATCTACTCCATATGTAATAACTAGAGACTTCTATTTAGATGGGGAATCCTATCTTAGTCATGAATGGTCACCTACAGGCTATTAGCCCATTAGACTACTTCGTGTGTAGTTGTTAGTTAAATGTGTAAATGGGCTACAAGAGCCATATCAGCCCATTACCCTCTTGTAATCCTCAAGTTAGATTTCCTTCCCTATAAAAGGAATCTAACTTGAGAGAAAAATAAGGCATTAATAAGGCATAAAGTATAGAGGCAGAATAGAGATAGAATAGCTTTCACACTGCTCTCTCTCTCTAGAGGGAGAGCAGCAACCCATTTCATACGATGTACTTAGTTTTTCGACATTTTGATATTGAATGGGAAATCTATCTGCTTCTTCTTCATTTCTATGATTGTTTGGTTGTTAGAAATAGGGACTAACAAATATATATTCATTCCAACTTATATCCAATTGCATAAACACACCAAAAATCATGCACAATATTTACGTCATCTGACAGTTTCTCTCTTCCCAACTGATCTCTTGCACCTCTGGTTTTTAATTGCTTTAGTTTATGTCATCTTCTTAAATTATCACAAAAAGAATTATAGTTCTTTCCCAGACAGAAATATCAGAGTCGTGTTCTCAATCTATGGATGTAATTTCGGATATGTGCGGGACAGCCTTTGCCGGCTTCTCTTGAAGTGTTGGAGTCAATGAATGTGGTTTAAGACCTTCGTTTAGCACCATTATTATATAAAGGTGACAACTTCGGTACCCTTTTAAAAATGGGGTACCGTACCTACCATTCATTTGATTGGACCACATCATTTTATCATTTTTAATTTAGATTTAAATACTGGTCCCTGCTTCGGTACCTTTGATATTGTTGAGGGTACGGTACCTCGTCCAAGTGGTCCAGTAAAGGCTTGCCATATGTGTTAAATTTACACATCAGATGGTTCGTATACTCTTAAATAATTTGCTATTGCACCCCTCAGATATTAACTAATTTAGTTGAATCCATTTACTACGTTAGCCTCCGTTAGTGCTCTGTCTCTCTTCCTCGGTTCCTTGTCAATTTCCATTTCTATTCCCGTCGTTTCCCTTCATCGATCTTCTTCGCATCTCATTTCTGTTGTCTGCGGCTACTACCAGTCTGGCATGAGCACATAGAACAGTTAACAAGGGTTACAAGATGATCCTCGCTTACTCAAGGAATTACAATTTCCAATCGTGTAGACCAGTCGGCCATGAGCACATAGACCAAGTCGCCTATGCCGGTATGCCGCGACATAGGCATACCCTATATCCAATGTTTAAATTTTGTTTTGCCATTTCGTCCAACATTCTTACGGATTATTTCTCAGGGTTGAATTGTTGAAAACAAGAAGACTCCAACTTTTAAGTATTCGCCCAATAGAGCAGCTCGGAATTGATTGAATCGGCGAAGATGGCTCAAGAGCCGAAGCGAAATCAGACTCAGACAGGGCCATCACTCCACCAAATGTATGCGGACGAAGAAGACAATACTGTCAAGCAACTTCATGAATGCTCTGTCCATTACCTAGCTTTACAGGTGCCCATAGTGTCATTCATTGTTTATTTATATAAAAAGGAGTTATTTTTGTATATTTACAGTGCAAAAGATAACATGAAACCCACACCCTCAATTGGAGCTGATAATCCTTTGATATTTGCAGGATTGCCTTGTTGAAAACAACCGTAACTGGAAATCATGCCAAAATGGTAAATCTTTCTGTTCCTTCACTTTATTTATTTTAATTCGGCAGAGATTAACTATTTCCAAAGGTTTTTTTTTTCTTGTT